CATGGTGGAGGATCTCTCTCAGATCCAGATGAACGAAGCAGGCGCCCAGGGCATCATCTCTCGTGTCTCCTTCCCATAGGATGAGGACGTCGAGGACATCATCACAGAAGACATCCCTTCTCGCACAGCATACGTACCGAAGAAACGGGTCAAGGTGTGTACCTGGAATACGAAAGCTCTGTTTGGGAGTGTTCATGGTGAACATAGGGTACAAGAGCGCAGGTATGCCAGATTTAGACACCTTCTCGAACGGCACGATATTGTCTGCTGCCAGGAGGTGCACGGCTCGGAAGGGGATCTTAGCAATGTGAAGCGAGACATGCCAGGATACCTGTTCTTTGGGAGCTTCTGCGAGGAAGCGCGTGCAGGTGGATGTATGATTTGTCTTGCGCCAGAATTTGCCGAGCAGTTTCACTCTATAGACTGTGCTGTGATCTTAGCAGGGCGATGCATTCTTCTCTCTTGCTCTGGACCTGAAGGAGTTCTTCAGGTATGCTGCCTTCATCTTGTTCCTTCCCTCTCTCGGCCTGCCAAACGTGCTCTCCTGCGCCAGATTCGAGATCGTTTTCTCTGTCCTGCTCAGGGGCTCGGAATCTTGGCAGGCGACTTTAATTTCTATGCGTCAGGCGAGTCTCGACAGTATGGGGACGGCACTCACCACAATAATGCACACACGCTTGCCGAGCACTTCGATAACCTTTTTACCGACTTTGGTGAAGTTGAGCAAAACCTGCATACACACAAGGAGGAGGTGGGGGGGAACGTTGTTTCGATGGCGAGATTAGATCGTATATATGTTAATTGCTTTCCTGCGGTTCTCAAAGATCTACAACCTATGACGGGGGTGATTGGGTATGGAGTTTCTGACTGGTGCAGTGATCATGCGCCTGTTTTTCTTAGCCTTGGAGTTCGGCGTGCTCCTCGTTACGATCAGGTTCCAGCGTGGCTGGCCAAGACAGCAGAATTTAAGGACGCTGTGGTAGAAGTACTGTCTGAGATTTTTTTGGAAGGTACGATTGGGGAGAAGCTATCACAATATAAACATGTGCTATACGAAGCGGGGATGAGGGCAAGGCGGAAGAGGGAGGAAAGGGGAGCCAGAACTATTCACGATAAAGTAAGCTGGATGTATGCGGTCTTGAATGCAGTGCGCGCGAACAAACATGCTGTTCTCAGGAGAGCTGTTCGAGCTTATCCTGCTCTGAAGGAGTTCGTGAATGAGGAGGAGGGGGTTTGGAATGATCTCGAGGGCTTCCACCAGCATCTTCAGAGGCTAACCCTTCAGAATCTGGCGGAGGAGGAGGAGGAGATTCTTAGAAGCAGCTTGCCGCAGGCCATAAAAGACGCCCGCGTCAAGCGTATCAACCGATTGCAGCAAGCCTGGGCAAGAGTTCGCAGAGTAGCTCCTTTTGTAGGCATCTATGACGACCAGAGGAGGGAGATGACTGACCCTGCAGAATGTTCCCGCCATCTTGCTGCACACTGGGGGGAGGTTCACAGAAGTAAAGAGGCCTGTGCTGCTGCGTACTCTGCCTTTGACGAGTTTGTACAGATCGCTCCAGATCATGTTGAATGGCAACTGTGCCGCGAAGAATTTTTCGAACGCATTGATAGGTTGAAGGACTCGGCCCCGGGTGCGGATGGATTACCATACAGTTGTTGGAAGGTGGGGGAAGTGGGAAAAGAACTCTTATACGAAGTCTACGAGCGCCTGTTCTCGCACGGCGAGCTGCCTGCTGATTTTAACGAGTGCATTGCAGTGTTCTTACCCAAAGGGGAGGAGGCGGAGGACGCGAGAAGGGGGATATTCAGGGAACCAGCCACTACGAGACCTATCTCGCTCTCCAATTCGTGCAATAAGATTATTGCCAGCGCGGTGGCGCTCCCTCTGGCTCGTGTGTCTGTGCATACGGTCGATGCTTGCCAGCGTGGATTTGTACCAGGTCGGCAGATTGTCGACAATATTATCGATCTGGAGGCCGACTTACTGGAGCACGGGACAATATATGGCGAAAGAAAAACTGGTATCTGTCTTTTCGATGTCAAAGCCGCTTTCCCGTCGGTTTATCATTCCTGGATTTTTCACATTTTGGAAGCCATGCAATTGCCCCCAGCTATTGTCCGTGCAGTGCGTGCTCTTTACACAGACATCCAGATGAAGGTGTCTTTTAATGGCTGCCGTGATCATCAGTTTCCTGTGGAAAGAGGGGTCAAGCAAGGGTGTCCGCTTAGCGGAGTCATTTTCGCGCTGTGTTTCGACCCGATCTTGCGGAGCATGATCGAGGCTTTGCCAGTTCCTGGAGTGCTAAGAGCATTTGCTGACGACGTTGGCCTCACGAGCGCCAACATGTACGAGTGCTTACCGCCAGTTCTTAGATTGTGGGTGAGTGCTGCAGGAGCAGCAGGTTTGGTCTTGAACCTCTCGAAGTCGGAGTTGTGTTTCTTATTTCCGCAATCGGACATCGCTGGAGAATTTCGTAGGTACGGAGTTCGTATTCGCAGTTTCAAGATTCGGTCGAAGGTTCTGTATCTTGGTGTATGGATGGGTCCTGGGGCTCATGAAGTCGTGTGGGAAAAGCCAATCGCTAAGTGTCGTGCTCGGGGACTTCTGATTAGGGCTCTTGGAAAGTCTCTTGTGGGGAGCATCCTGGCCTACAACACGTACGGCTTCACTGTACTATCGTATATTATGCAGTTCTACCCTCCATCTAATACGGCACTGAAAAAAGAACGGGATGTGGTCCAGTTGCTCACTGCCTCCCCGCGTTTTTCGATCCCGACGGACGTGCTGCGCGATTTCAAGGACCTACAATTTGGGGCTGAGGTCCGTTGCTTCCAATTGGTGTGTGACGCCGCCAGATATCGTGCTGCTTTTTACTCTTCAGCCTTCCACAGAGGGCGACTAACTCTTGAGAGCGCAGAGGCAAGTGACGAGAGGACTCTTACCCCAAGTCTTCCAGAATGGCGCTCCAATAGCATCCTGTACCAGATGATCTCTTTATATGATCGTATTTGGCGTATTCCTCAGGTTCCGCAAGCCCCCTGTGCTGAGCTCCAGAAGAAAACCGAGAAGGCCCTGAGACCCCATATGTTCAATATTCCTATGGCCAGAAGATTTCTTTCCAGAATGAAGTACTGGAGTAGTGATGCCACTGTGAGTGAAGCCAACGATTTTGTGTCGCAGTTGCGTGTAATAAATAAAGCATTGCCCGTGTTTATAGGAATTAGTGTTGTCAAATCCGTTTGCAACTCCTGGTGCACCACCCGTAGGTTCCATCAGGGGACCCTTTCGTGCCGTTTCGGGTGTTGTGCCGTGGGAGGTGACTCGCTCGAACACTATCTTGTTTGTCCCATCTATGTTGCCTCTGTCTCTCGCTTGCTTCCTGCTCTGCCCCCTCTCTGGTCACAGCTCAGCTTCCTTGATCGTGTTTTCATGCGTTCCCATACGTGGAGCACAGGTGAACAGCTGCATACACTAGCAGTTTCGCTTGATTTGGGGTTCAGCACATTCAACGCTCAGAGAATGGAGGAAAGATTTGACTCTGTTCATGCTGTGCAGCACCTTGAAGGGAGGATCAGGGCCTTAAGCAGGAGGTCGCCCGTGCTGCGCAGCCTCTGCGTGTAGCCGCCCGTCACCGAGGAGCTTCTTCATGGGGTCGGGTATCATCATCATCATCATCATCATCATCATCATCATCATCATCATCATCATCATCATCATCATCATCATCATCATCATCATCATCATCATCATCATCGGGACACCGACGGGACACCGGCGGGACATCGGTGGGACACCGCGGGCCAGCGGCCCCCGGAAAGGAAGCATTTGGTCCGGCCGCGCCTCAGCCGGAGGCGGGACACTGGCGGGACACCGCGGGCCACCGGCCCCTGGAACGGAATCATTTGGTCCGGCCGCGCCTCAGCCGGAGGAGACTTTCTTTTCGCCCGCCCGCGCAGCTTCGCCTCGCCCGCACGCACGGCACGCACGAACACGAAACCGAAACCGATTTCCTGGTAGGGGGGCTCTCCGTTCCACTTCGACCTCACCCCCTCACCTCCGATTCTTGCGTATCCAATCCTAAGTGATTTACGTATGCTCCTATACATTGGGCCTCCCCTGGAGCACGGGTCCTTGGTGTATGCGCGTGTTTCTATATATTGCCCTTATCTTGCGGCTCCAATCCGCCGTGTTTTATGAACGTAGGTTCCATGAGGCCCCAGGAGGCCACACGAGGCCCCAGGAGGCTCCAAGCAGCCCCAGGAGGTTCCAAGAGGTCCTAGGAGGCCCCAGGCTCACGCGCAGAGACGCGGTCGTACTTCTGGGACTCATTCACACTCCAACTCGTTCACAGTTAGATTCACTCCCAGACCGTCAATACTCAGGGCCGTGAATATTCGAAACTTACTGCATCTAGATACTCACGGCGGACAGGTCCATGCGAATAGATGCACATATGGGGAGCTCCACGCAGTGAGTACTTTGTGTCCTTGGGCCCTTTTAAAAGGGCCACGGCCTCTCGGGGGGGAAGAAGGGGGCTGGAAGAGGGGACCCCGTAAGCCGCTGACGCCCCCGGGGGCGAGTGGGATTCGTCGGGCGTCGCGACACGGGGGGGGGCGAGCGATGAGCTGGGAGGGCCAGCGAGGGCTGCCGTAAAAGGGGCCCTTTCAGGGCCCCGGAAGGGGCTCGAGTGGAGGCCTTCGAGGCCAGAGAAGTGCACCTTGCTTCCCTCCCCATTTGTCGCCCCCGCACTCAGCGACGCCCGAATAGCCGCGAAGAGGATTCCCTGGACAGCCCGCGGGTACTTGCAAACTCGGTCCCCGGAGGCGGCCGAGAGGGCGCTGGTTTCCCTCAGGCGACTCACTGTGCGCAGTTCCCTTCTTTTTTTTCTCCGATTGCGCCACGACGCGCGACCGCATGAGCAAGAAAACATCAGCTCCAGCGCGCGGCGGGCGCCAGCGCGCCGCGCGCACCAGGGCGGGGGGGGGGCGCCCGCCAGGAGCTCGGGGTGAAGATCGTGTGGCTGGAGGCGCCGTTTGGAGACCTCCCCCATGGGTGGGTGTAGTTAAAAAAGAGAGGGGAGGGGGAGGAGGGAGAGGAGGGAGAGGAGGAGGAGGAGGAGGAGGAGGAGGAGGAGGAGGAGGCGGAGGAGGAGGAGGAGGAGAAAGAGGAGGAGAAAGAGGGGAGGGAGGGGGAGCAATGGGGAATCGGGAAGGGGACGGCGAGGCGGAGGGGGAAGGAAGGCATGAACATGAGGAGGAGCACGGGAAGGAGCAGGAGGAGAAGAAGGAGGATAATGATAATGGGGAGAAGGGAGGAATGGAAGAGCGAATGCTGAAGAGGAGGGCGAGAATGAGCAGGGAGAGTTCCAGAGGGAAGGAGGGAGGAGGGAGGTGGAGGAGGAGGGAACAAGGCGGGAGGGACGAGGACAGAGGAGGAGGGGAGGGGGAGAGGAGGAGGAGGAGAGGAGGAGGAGGAGGAGGAGGAGGAGGAGGAGGAGGAGGAGGAGGGGGGGAGGGGAGGGGAGGGGGAGGGGGAGGGGGAGGGGAGGGGGAGGGGGAGGGGGAGGGGGAGGGGGGGGAGGAGGGGAGGAGGAGGAGGAGGAGGAGGGAGGAGGAGGAGATGGAGGAGGAGGAGGAGGAGGAGGAGGAGGATAAAGGAAAATGAAGGAGAGGAGCGTGCGGGGAGCGTGTTGCATCACGGGGCGAAGACATTGTGCCCAGAAGTCCACCGACGGGCATGGCGAGTTCCACCTCGGCGCCGCGCGCGTCAGTTCCACCCGAGAGTGCGGCCGCACGGAGCTGGTCTGATGTAAGGGTTGGCCCACACCCAAGAGGGATTGAGAGTGAGGGGGAGGTGGACAAGTTAGGTGCGCTCGCGTCAGATTTGACGTCCTACCCCTCCCTCTCATCCCCTACTGTAGCGTAGATATCCTCTCTACTCGCACAGGCGGATGTCGCAGCATGGCATAGCATTACATAGCATTGTGTTGAAGATCAATGCGTAGCATGACATAGCATGGCGTGGCGACGCCCCAAAGTGGGGGGGGCTTCTGCGGCCCCCAAAAGTCAACGAATCGACACCGAATGTGTAATCACTTCCGATGTGTTTTTTTTTTTTCGGTGGCCATTTTCTAGATTTGGGGGCCTATTTGGAAGGACCGAAAACCACGCCGTGGCATGGCGCTGGCAATAATGACGCCAGCGCTGCAGCGGGAGCACGATTCGGAACGAGCGGAAGCGTGGAAATGAGGCCAGCGATGCAGCGGGAGAACGATCCGGAACGAGCGGAAGCGCGGAAATGAGGCCAGCGCCAGCGGGAGCACGATTCGGACCGAGCGGAAGCCAGGAAGAAGAAACAAACAAAACATAGAAACCCGATTCCCGGGAATCTTGCGTGAAAAAACAATACGCGGAGGGGGGCCGCCAGACATTTTCCGGACGTCATCAGGGGAGAGAGGAGAGTAGTATTCATAGTCTGTGATTGAGGAGGAGGAGGAGGAGGAGGAGGAGGAGGAGGAGGGGAGGGGAGGGGAGGGAGGGGAGGGAGGGGAGGGGAGGGAGAGGGGGAGGGGAGGGGAGGGGAGGAGGGAGGGAGGGAGGGAGGGAGGGAGGAGGGAGGGAGGGAGGGAGGGAGGGAGGGAGGGAGGGAGGGGGGAGGAGGGAGGGAGGGAGGGAGGGAGGGAGGAGGAGGAGGAGGAGGAGGAGGAAGAAGAAGAAGAAGAAGAGGAGAAGGAGGAGGCGGAGGAGGAATGAAGGTGGTCATCCCATTCCCCCAGCTCCGCAAACGGCCGCGGCCTCCCCGCCAGGCGTGGGAGAACCCGCTCAACGAGCGCCTGCGCGCCGCGATCGACAACAAGAACCAGTGCGGCGGCGTGCCGTACCTGTTCAACCGGAAGACGGGGAAGGCGCTCGGGCAGCGGCTCCCCAGGGTCTGAGGGTCTGAGGGCCCAAGAGGCCCCCAAGAGGGGCCGAAGACGCCAGGAGGCCCCCAAGAGAGCACTGGAGGCCACACGAGGCCCTTCTGGCCACTTCTGCTTCTCGCCGCAGCAGCTTCTGCTGCTCCTCCTCTTCCCGTGCCGCTCCACGCCCTGCGTCCTCTCGCCCCCCCGTCCTGCTCCTCGTCCCCCCGGCGCGGCGCAGCGCTGCACCGCACGGTCTGCAGCCGCCGCATGACTGGTCGCCACAAGCAGAAACCCGACCGCATGCAACCATCCTTGTTGCCTTCTCTCGCCGTGCCTATCCTCTCTCTGCACTGCCTTTCCCGGTTTCTCTTTGGTACCCCTACGCACCAGCCATCACGCTTAGGCTGCGAGTCGCCGGCGACGTGGTCACCCCTCTGTGCCCTGACTGGTTTGTGATTCAATCACTCGCGTGGTATTACACATGCTCCCACATGCTCCCCCTTCCTCGGGGCCCTCTGTCGCTTCAGCGCTTGCTCGGTTTCTTGTTGGATGATGGCGGTCTCTGGGCGAGCCCTGAGCGGGTCTCTGGCGCGGTCCGCGCGTTGCCGAACTCTGGCTTGCGCTGGCGCTTGCTCTTCCTCGTCCGAGTGGGGACGCGCGGACCCCAGCCAGATGCTTGGCCAGGTGCAAAGGACCCCCGAAGTCCCCAATTCAAGTCCCGCGCGGGCATGCATCCTGGCGCCATCCAGCTTGGGAGACATGCAGGCGCTATCCAGTTTCTGCGTGCTTGCGCCCCGTTTTTTTGCACACTCGAGGTATCCAGGATTCATATGCCTTTGTATATGCATGCAGCCGGCGCCGCATTTACGGCGATTGATGCTTGCCGCCGGGAGGCGGGTCCAGCCCCGATCGGGGAGATCCGCGCGGACCTCTGAGCTGTTCTGTTTATGTCGCTGCTTGTCCCCCTGGGAAGGCCACAGAGCAGGAGCGAGGACGTCGCAGCTATGGCAGTCCTCCTCTCCGGGCCGCTCACCGGGCTAGAGGTGGGAGGACATCTGAACGACTGCACCACGAGAAAGGAGGTGCCCCATCAGCCCTTGCCCACCTGAGAGTAGATGTCCAGCAGACGTTGGGCTATGGTCAAGGGAGGAATAACCACCCGGACCAGATAATTGGCGTTTCTTGCCCTGTTCGATTCCTTTTTGTTGCGGGTGTGTTTTCTAAACGGCTTCGCGTATCGGGTTGATTATTGGGGGGGGTGGATTTGCTGCCCTCTAGGCAAAGCGCAGCGGGCATCGCAAGTGCTGACGCCTGCAATCGAGCAGGACACGATCGACTGACCGACGGGTGAGCTTTCACGGCAAGACACGCCCTAATTGTCAAGATTTATGTGTTCATTTGAAGCATTCTTGGGAGTTTGCGGCTCGAGAGCGCGATGTTCTCCTGCAGATTTTATCATGAGTCTTCCGATGCTTGTTCCCCTGGCCTTCATTTGGACGTGAGGAATACTGCAATTGCAAATAGTCTGGTGACGATGTTTCGTGCGTTTCTGAGTATGTCCGAGTATGTGTTGATGATGTGTTACCCTTCTTCCAAACTCCGCCTGTCGGAGGACATGCTCGACCTAACCCTGGCCCGTGCTCCCCCTCTCCCTCCACCCCTTCCGCTCTGCCTCTGCCCCTCCCTCCCTCTTGGCATCGCTCGGACGTGTGCATTTTTACTTCGGCGATGACCATCGAGGAACATCCTTGATCATTTCGCAACAAAAAACAAACACGCACGAAACCGAAAAAAGCACAGGGAATGGACGTCCGAGCGATGGCGAGCCCTCCGTTCGCTCCGCCTCGGCCCCGCCCTTCGACGGCAGCCACGGCAGGAGAGCTCCCGCGCTGCCCTTCGGCCCCCGCCCCCCTCCTCCTTCTCCACGCTCCTCCTCCTCCTCCTCCTCCACGCTCCTCCTCCTCCTCCTCCTCCTCCTCCTCCTCCTCGTCCCACCCCCTCCCCCTCCTCCTCCTCTCTCCTCCTCGTCCTCCTCCTCCTCCTCCTCCTCCTCCTCCTCCTCCTCCTCCTTCTGCTCCTCCTCCTCCTCCTCCTCCTCCCCCTCCGCCCCGCCTGGAGGGCCCCTGCCTGCGCAGGAGGGGTGCACTGGGCAGCGCCTGCGGCCCCATCCAAGGGCACGGCTCGCCTGCTCTCTCCCAAGCCCCCACGGGTCACCTTGGCATCGCTCGGACGCGTGCATCTTTTCCTCGGTGGGGACCACCGAGGAGCATCCTTGATCGTTTGGCGGAAAGCCACGCACGAAACCGAACAAAGACAGAGGGAATGGACGTCCGAGCGATGGCGAGGGTCGCTGCACGAGATCGCCTCTGTTTCGGTGGCAAAGCTCAGGGGGCCCCGGCGTGCCCTCGCAGTTCTGTCGCTAGCGTCGGTTTGCGTCTGGGAGTCGATGAGGTAGCGTCGACGCAGCGTCGATGCAGCGTCGATTCCGCGTCCATTCGCAGGAGTCGACAAGATGGTATGTCGGGGGTGGACAGAACCCCCAACAGTGACACGTCGATTAGTGAATCGTCCGTTTTCGGTTCTCGAGAGGGCGCCGTGGCCGTTCTTTTCCAGGCTCGCGCCCGCCAGGTTTGGGCCTCAGGTCGTTTTCATTAAACCACGTTTTACCAAAGGGAGGTCTGTCCATCCCCGAGTCTGGGAGGCTCCCATGAGTCGCCACCGAAGTCTCCAGCAGGTGATCTCGTGGCGGCGGCCTTGGATGTGGCTGGCACTCGTCTGTTTGACGCCGTGGCGCCCGACACGTCCCGCGGGGAGTCGGCGGCCGGGGCTCTGCAGAAGCCGTCGTGGCTGCCCGCGCCGCAGATCTGGAGGCCCCTCCTCTTCGGGGAGGGGGCACTGCTCAGCTCACGCCGACTGCGCGATTCGCTGCGTCCGCGCGTCCTATGCACGCGGTGCCAGGGGCGCGCGCGCGCGCGCGTTCCCCGGCTGCCCACCAGGTGCTGTGTGGTGTCCAGTCGTACGACAAGCTGCGACTTTGGGCCAAGGGCATAGCTCAGCACGTGATGAGATGTCGGCGGGGGACGTGTAGTGAGCAG